TTGAGAGGAATTATAGAATCATAGAATTGTTTGGGTTGGAAGGGACCTTAAAGATCATCTAGTTCCACCCCCCCTGCCATGGGCAGGGACACCTTCCACTAGACCAGGTTGCTCCAAGCCTCATCCAGCCTGGCCTTGAAGACAGCCAGGGATGGGGCATCCACCACTTCTCTGGGCAACCAGGAAGCTACTGGGATTCCAGGTTGACAGAAGGGAATTCCCCCAGGTGTACTTTGGCCAGACACTGCAAACTAGTCCCATTGCCTCAGGTCTGCATGGGACCACAATACATCCACCTGAGAGATAACAGCCCAGCACTGCCACATGTGCTCAGCTCTGGGAGGATGTTTGCACTCCCAGCCACAGCCACGAGAGCCCCATAAATCCTTAAATTCAGGGCATCTACACAGCCCTGAACTGCAGACCCTGTGACAGGCTCCTTTGATGAAGAGCCAGAAAGACTGTGCTCATGGGCCAAGCTGTCTACTTACAAACACTGCAGCCCCTTTTCTCTCTGAATAATCACGTTTTCCCAGCCATACACAGAGGTACATTACAGAGCAGGGTAATGGATCAGTATGCTGCTTTGGGAGGTGAGGAAAGTGCAGTGCAGGTAGTGGAAGCAACCAGCTTAAGGGCAGCAGAGCAGGGAAAAAAATCCACGGCTCTTGTTTCCCACCACACACGTTGCAAAATGAGGCCAAGCAGCCACGGAGCCGAGGAGTCCGTATAGATTAACAGCCACTACCCCAGGCTACAGGGGAAAAGCACGTGGGCCACAAAAACACTCAGCAGAGATTTCGGTCTGGTTTGCCATAATCCAGAAGGACCAGCCCCCACCAGCCTGGCTAGCAGCAGCAGGCTCAGGAACAAACAAACTAATCGGCCTCTCGCTTCTAACCAACTAAGCACTCAGGAAGCAGGCAACTGTAAAAGGCGATCACCAGATCAAAATCCCACGGGACAGCCCTTTGAGACCATTCACACAATCACCAAAGCAACACATCCACTGCCCTTCGCTTCCCACGGGTTCTCCTTCCTTCTCTTCTCATCCTTCTGAAGCCTCAACTCAGTGCCTTAAGAAGAAGGGAATTAAGCTGCTTTTAGCCCCAGACTGAAGCTCCTGGGCACAGAGGAGGCTCACAACTGGCTGTCGGGGTTAGCTGTTTCCAGAGGCTCGGGGTGCCAGAGCAAGCTGAGGGTGGGTAAGACCATCCAACCCCAACTGCCCTCTCCGTGACGGTACCCCCCGATGGCCTTTGCTCCGCAGACGGGGCAGTCAGGCTTGATGTGCACATGGTGTGTTCCTGAGAGCGCTGAGCAGGCTGCTCTCAGAGCAGGGGCTGCCAGAAAGTGTGGCCAGGCCATTCCCCTGAGTCATACTTGCTGCCTGCCCAAGTGTGTCCTCAGCGTGGCTCCCGTCCTTCTTTCCTTCACAATGGTTTTTTCCAGCCTGTAGTAGAAAAAAACCTCATCCAGCTTCCAGAGCTCAGCTTTTCCTTCCAAGACGCCGATAGCTTTTTCTCCCGCTGCTCTGCAACAAGCTGGCAAAACGCCTGCGGAAGAGATACTGACTTTGCAAGTCCGTGCCCGTCGTGGCATAATAAAGTCATTGTCAAGAAGATGCTGCACCGGGAGGCCGATCTCGAGCAAAACTCCGGTTGTGAGTTGTGCAACCCCTGTGGCTGTTCAAACACTGGCCTCATTGTTTCCCATCCTCAGTCTCCGGCATCTCATTGTCCATTGAAAAGCCGGTTCCTACGGAGCTGGTGCAGACACCAATCAAAAGTGCATCGCTGCTGGCTGTCAAAATGACCCGGTCTGCTGAATTAGCTGCCTCCCAAATGGCAGGAAACCCACGCTCGTCTCACTTCACACCGCTTGGATGAATGTGAGCTCTTGATTGAACAAAATCCTCCAATCCCTACCTTCTTTCCTTGCAGAAAGAGGATGTTGCAGGGGTCTGGCAGGTGGAAAGGCCCCATTAGGAAGACCAGCTTAGCGCAGGAACTTCAGACGCTGGTACATCTCAAACCACATCCTGCTTGCATGCTTGCGACTGACTTTCCACGGCTCCTCGGCTTACAGCGGGTAAAACCCAGGCGAAACTGCTGCCATCAGTGGGAAGCGGGCCACGGAAGCACCACTTCGGTCTTGCTGACATGGTGTGGTGTCGCGGGGATACAAAGCCTCTGGTGAAAATGCTACCCAAGGAGAGGTGATAAAGGCATGCGTGGCGAAGAGGGGAAAGCTAGCGGATACTTGAATAGGGGAAACAATTTAGAGCAAGATCAGCTGGCCAGAGGAAGGGGGATAAAGACACACAGGAGTCTTCCTCCTGCAAACATTGGGTGGAAGGACTGAGGTTAGCCTTCGCAGAGGCTGCACTCAGAAGGTAGAAGCAAGTACCTGCATGAGCCACTCTGGTTTAAGGGACAGAGAGGGAGAGATAGTGGTTTGATTTCACACAGTATCTGCCCAGGAGACAGATACACACCGGTGAGCAAGCATGAGGCACTCAGTACAGAAAGAATAAAAAAGCAATACGCCCCTTAAAAACATATTTAATAGTTTTCAAACTTTATTTCATGGTGATTGACGAAAGACACAAGTTAGTAATGGTTATATCATGCTGCTCCTCTACTGTGCATTGCCCTTCAGAATTCATACAGCAGTTCACAATGGTCATTAATTTACCCTATAAATGAAGCCACATGGACATCTTCCTTTTAAAAAAAAGAAAAAAAAAACCCAGAAAACAAAACCAAACCCAAACCTCAACGTCTTTGTTTTTTTTTTTGTACATACATGTTATAAATGCTATTAAAAATAAAGCCGAAGTTAAGTGCACAGCCCCTAGGGAGCACTGCTGAATCTGACCTTGGTTCAAGATGCTTGACAACGAGGACGCAAGGTCCTGTTTTAAGGCATTTCCAAGCCCCAGCAAAAGCAGACAGAATTGTTTAGTTGTTGGGTTTTTTTTTTTTTTTGCAGTGACCCTGGCTTCATTTCAGTGGCATTCTATAAAATTAGCAGCTTCCTCTGTGCATGCCCCCCTCTCTCTGGAGCTGACACCTTCAGCCCCCAGCCCATGCGGTTGCATGGCCCAGCCAAAACTCACGTTCTCCAAACACAGATCGAGGGTCTCGCGCTTCCCTCCCATCCCACCCCATCCTGCAGTCCTAGTTAGCCCCCGTCTATCTACACCTCGTGATCAAAATACAGCAGGCCATCCCTTTCACAACACAATCACAGCACTCCCCACCAGGAACCACAATTTATACACAGTAGCCACGTAAAATGTGGTATTGCCACACACACAGCCACACACACACCCCCCCGGGGGCTCCATCCACAGAGGGCACAGCCCCCCGTGAAACACTTAACCACTGGATTTTAGAGGAATGTCAATAGATTAGGCATAGATTTGGGGAAGGGGGAGCGGGCATAGATTTATTTTAATTAAAAAAAAAGGAGAAAGAGGAAATCAACCCAAGTGGTTGAGACTTATGTTCTCCCCCGTGGTTACACCTGTGTTCAGCGCTCACCCTGAGAAACATCATTTGGCTTTTCATGGCTCGAAACCTAGTGCCAAGAAACAACATTTTTACAGGGTGCCCTACTTTGTAAAGGTACACTGCAAGGTGTGCTGGAAATTTAGGGTAACACTGCAAAATTATGGCACCCTGGATTAATTAACGCTTGATACCTGGTGGGCTCCTTCCGATTAATTGCGTACGCTCCACAAAGCGGGTTTTGCACAGAGCAACGTGCCATCTCAGGGTGGCAAAGAGACAGGGCTGTGACACGGATGCTACACAGCATCAGTGAATTCTTCCCACGGAGAAGGAAGCGGAAGGGAGCGGGTCACTTCTTTCCTAGCTGCAATCCCTTTGTTCTTCTCCTGCTTACAGGAGACTCGGTGTTCGCACGCAAACGTGCGCTGGTTGGCAGCCACATACGTTCATTCGGAAACACACGCGCTGGCTTTGGAACTGGCACCGCAGTATTTGCTCTCCAGATTTGCGTGGAGGAAGAAAATCCTTAAAAAAAACCCTCCTCCCAGACACTACTGTCTCACGCCCCATTCCCAGCCGTTGCTGCTGGGTTGGCAGTATCCAGAGGAGCTTGGATCGTGGCATGGAAGGCTCTGCATTGCACTAGGCATTGCAAAAAGTGGAAGTCAAAGGTAAAACTCTAATTACTCTTCACGGGAGAGGCTCTAATACCAGCTCTACAGAGATTCACATGCTGGCCAGCTGCAAGCATCCTCATGGTAGACAAAGGGCAAGTCAGGCCCGGAGGCTGGAAAATGGACATGGGTCATGGAAGGACACATCCAACAGATTTTTTTTTTTTTTTTTTAGGGGAAAAGGGACCCAGTCCCTGTGCCCTCACAGCCCGTTTGACAGCGCTGGAAGAGGGAGAGCTCTTCCAGCTCTTGAAGACGTGCTGCACGTTCTCACTAGCACACGGGAGAGCAACGCTGGGTACACAGAAGCTCTTGGGAAGAGCAGCCAGGGCAAGCAGGTGGTTAGGACATGTCTGGATAAACACAAAGCGTGGAAATGAGGTTTCACAGCTGCTTCTGCACATGTCCAAGAGGAGGAGGAGAGCCAACAGAGAAATCAACATTTCCCCCCCAGCATCTCCCAGTCCAGCAAACAGTCGTAAGACAACCAAAGAGCAATGCTTTTCTGCCTGCTCGGAGCAGACCTTGGTCTCTCTTCCAGTGCATGGCATCCCTGATTTTAACAGAGCATAAAGGAGAAAAGCACTTGAGATTCTTACACACATAAATTATAGTGTGAGGAAGGGGGGGAGGAGGGAGGTAGGGTGAACACAGGGCCAGGAACAGGCTTGGCAGAGCCAGGCCCCAAAGCAGGGTGGCAACTCCCACTTCTCTCTGATGGCCACCTCCCTGCTCAGCCAGCACCGCAGGGGGGGCTTTGGGGCCAGGCCTGAGATGGGGAGGGGGTGAATCCACAAAGGCCACACGTCTCGCCAGCACCAGCATCCTTTCCCCCGCAGGCGTGAACAACAACCCGAGAACACAAGCAAGGAGGGGGAAAAAAATAACCCAAAAAAGAAGCTTCAAGTATGAATAAGAATTTACAATGCAGGTGCGATGGGGAAATTCTTCTGTCACTTCTTGGAGACTTGGTTCAAGGTTTGTTCTTTGTTGCTGCGGTTTGATTAGAGTCTGACTGACCTGGATAGACTGCAACCAAACAAATAACCCAAAAGAAAAGGTGTTTCCTCCCCTCCCTTTCCCCCCTCCCCCCCAAAAATATAAAAAGCAATAAGTTTACAAAAATAGAAAATAATTACAGCAATAGGCAGGAGGGAGGGAAGGAGAAGGGAGGGTCCCTGGGGGTCTATTTGGCTGAGCAGTGTAATATCGTGGGGTTGTTTAAAGCGTCCTCCACCAGATGCAGTTCTTGGCGGTCAACAATCACGTCCCTTATGCAGCCAATAAAGCCAGTGCTGTAGGCCTTGGGCAGCTTGTGAGCCACGCTCAGCTTCTCCATTCCCCCTGCAAGAGACAGCACACAAGGTCAGCGGGAGGAGAAAGGACACGCAGGGAATGCCCTCCTCGCCACCTGCGACAAGCCTCTTTCCTCAATGGGATTTATTTCATTCAATCAGAGAAATACCAGTTCCAACCAACACATACAGGTTCCCTGAAGACACCTAGAATACCAACTGGTATTCTAAAATACCAGTTCAACTTAAAATGCTTCATTTCCTTGGAGGTTGGCCCCAAATTCAAACTAAATTTTATTTCAGCTACTGAAACGTCAAACTACAGCTCATTCCAGACCCTGAAATTATGACAGACTGACTGCAAACAAAGCCTTTGGAAGAGCCAGGCTAAAATTTCTCATGGAAAAATTATTTCTTCATAACTTCTAGGTTGATTTCAGAATGAGAAATGACATCTGGGGCACTGTCTTTTCAGAGGTATGGCTATGTTTTTGACTATGGACTCTTTTAAAGTTAGGTTACACCTGAAGCTACAGGCTTAGACTGGGAAGATAAGAAAGGATGTTTCTGAAAAGCCTGAAGAGACTCTAATTCACTGTTTCTTCATTACAGATGACCAAAATACCCAGGTGAACATTTCTGTCTGTTGACATCTGCGGCCCTTGTGCCCCTGTGCCCTCCGGAGGGGCAGTGCTGCTCGAGGAAAAGCCCAGTCCCCAACTTACAGGGGGAGGCTTGAGTCATGCAAGTCCCTCAGGAGACAAATAAAGCCCAGGACCTGCAGCATCCCCTGGGCATCCTTCTTTCATCCCTTCAGGATCCAGAAAGGACTTGTCTATCCTCTTAGCTCGGATTAGTACCAGTTTTATTTAACCACAATTACCCTACACTTGTGGGTGGATTTCTTGCCAGTTTGAGCCTTTACAGGCCAAACCTACTCCCTGTGTGCTGACGGATCTGCCACAGGCAGTGTGAGAGAGATTCAAGGGGCCAACCTCTCCATCTGCAGGATCAGAAATCTTATGTCAACACAAATGGAACTGACTCTGCTGCTCACACGGGCACATTCTGGCATGTCTGCTTATTCTATGTTACGCAAAGAAAGCAACGTTTAAAATCTGGGTATTTACATGTTTCCAGGCAGAAATACCCTTCTCTCAACTCAGCCGTTCCACTTTTGGGAACCAGAGTCACCCAAGCAAGTACCATTTGGGAGGCTCATGAATGGAGGCTAACGCCATTGGCAGCAGGGGATCCAGAGCTGCAGGCCAGCTACGGCTTTCTTCAGGAGACACGGTGACATGGAAAGGACTGGCATTTGGTAAAGCCAACCCTTTGTCCCTCTGCTGTCACCAGCACCCTGCTCTAGTAGGCAGAGAACAAACCAGGGACTTTTTAGGTCAACCTTGTCAAAACCACCTGGGAGGCAAAGGTGTCCCACTGAAACAAGCATCAACATCCCAGCTCCAGCTCTGAGCCCCTCAGCAAGGGGCGCGGAGGAGGTTTACCCTTCCCACATGGACTTACCCAGCCACAGGGCCCCGTCTGTATCGAGCTGTGTTGCACCGAGCGGAGAAGAGCCAGCAATGGGGGCTTCGTTGCCAACTTGAAGGGAACCTTCTCTCTGTACCCTGCTCCCAGAGGGAAGAAGAAACATAAAGGTTAGCAACCTTCGAGGAAAAACCCAGAGCTTCACGCTAAATCCGGATGCTGGGCTCCATCAGCCCTCTCCACCTGGAAAGGAGCGGGGAGCGGAGCTCCATCAGGCTGCGTAGCATGGGGCAGTGCACGGCTTCCCTGCGCAGCCTGTGGCACACGCTCCCCTCCGCCACCCCCTGGGCATCCCACCGCCGGCCCTGCCAGCGGCCATGGCTTCCTCCCGCGCCCTCCAGACCCATCAGCAGAAATCCCCGGCATGCCAGCTGCATGATCCGCTCACCACTCCCACTACCAATAAAAATAAAAGGGACGGCTCGGGCGCAACGCGTACAGAATGTCAAACCCTCAGCCAGCTAAAATAAAAGGCATGAACCTTTCGTACCTCCTTGAGCCAGACCCTTTGACATTTCCAGGCGTGTCACAACACGCACCCCTCCAACGCGGCACTGCCCACATGCCTCTCCTCTATTATTATCCAAGAAGAGGAGTGACCCTTGGGGATCACAGGGCATGGAGCCACGGCCATGACTCAGGCTCCTGAGTTCACAGCTTGCCCATCCCAGAGCGATCTGCTCTCCCCTCCTGCCAGCCTGTATGCTTTCCCTTCCCACCTGTATGCTTTGATATGGATCCACTGGTTGGTGTTGACTGGGACCGTGGATCGTAGGACGACTGGCTTGGAGCCGAGGTCGTAGGTCATTTGTATGAAGCCATCCACTATGGCGAGGGCAATGTAGTCGGATCGCTCCAGCCCTTTCCCACTCCACAGGATGAGCCCCTGAGTGGCTTCTGTTTTGATGCTAAGTTCAAAGTGGTTCGATTGCAAGGCCTTCTCACTGCACGGGGAGAAGACAGAGCAGAGTTAAAAGAAGCAACAGGCAGCCAGTCAGCTCCTCGGAGCAGCCTCCTGTTCCCAGCCAACGAGCTCACCGGCTGAGGATAACCTCAACCGCGTGCTGGCACCAGGCTACGCACGGGGTCTCAGTCCCTACCTGCTGCACTTGGGGGGGGTCGCAGCCTATGTAATCTCTCAGGCCTGCTCAGAAAACCTGGTGCATGGTGGGGGGAGCAGATGGAAAGCTCCGAACCAGGTCACAGGATCAAAGAAATGGCCCTCTGGAGGGGTCTAACCCAGCTCCGGCTGAGCAGGACCGCTGCCAGCGTTAGAGGAGGGCAGCTGTGGCTCTGCCCAGCTGAGCATGGAAATACCAGGACTGGAGCTTCTCCATCTTCCTCCTGACCTGAGCAGGGGCTGCACAGTTCTCCCCAGAATGAAGTGATTTCCCCAACATCCAGCTTAAACCTCCAAAGGCACAGCTTGAGGGTACTACCTCTTGGCTTTTGCCCTCCACGGAACACAGACACATCAGCCCCTGCAAGTTGTTTTGCTTCGTATGCAGGCGCTGAAGGAAGAGGCCCGTTACGTGGGCTGTGAGCACAGCCGGGCTGGCCCCGATCTGGCCAGCGGGAGGGTTTTCCCCACAGAGCTGCCTTCGATTTGGGAGAGGTCAGAACAAAGAGGATGCCTTCCAGATCGCGAGGGCTGCAGGCAGCAGTGGGGTCAACACCATTTCACCATCCTGCTTGCAGGCCTCTGAGGTGCAAGCAGAGCTGGGGCGCCTGGGGATGACCCATGCCATCACCCCACAGCCACAAGCCTCGGACGCGTTTGCTCTGCTGCTACATCTGACCAAAGCCCCATGGGAACCTGAACCCGGGGTCTGTGAGGAGAGGAGCACCCTGAAGTTTGAAGGGGATGGAGACTGTCCACAGAGGCAACACAGTCTTCTTTCTCTTGCATATGGTGTCTTTTCCCAGGGGAGGAATGAAGGAAGGATGTGATCTCCCCCATACTGGCATCCGCATCTTTGCTCGGTCCCTTTTGGAACAGGCAAAAGGCTCTTGGCAAAGGGTGAGGTTGCCATATGGAGTCGCCATCCACTCTCCTGGGAGGCTTGGAGACACACTGCTGACACGTGCACACGCAGACCAGACAACACGGGCAACACAGACAGCTTTTTATTCCCAAGGGAGACTGGGTCCAAAGGGCTGGACAAGGGCTCTGCATGAAGCCTGTTGTACTGTCAAGGCAACTCAGCCTCTCCCCTCACTTGGAGCTATGTGCTGTCTAGGTCCCCCAGGAGCCAGGAGCTGCCTAGGAGCTGCTGTTCCTAAAAATTGGAGGGACAGGGCTTCCTTCATGTTTACCTTCACCATCTGCAGAGCTGTACCCCTTACAAATAAAAAGCCAAGGGTATGGACACACAGAACACACACAGAGACAGAGACATGCTGAGGCAGCAACAGCAGAGCACGAGACACAAGAGCTGAAAGCCTGGCAGAGACTCACCTGGGCTCCGGATAGTCCAGCGCTTCGGGACTTAGATGCGGGAAGAAAGGGGAGCATGCGATAAGCGCAGCAGAGTGGAGGAGATCCTTCCCTCCCACCCTGTTCACAGAGAGGGAACAGCCCTGCTCAGCAGCAGCAGCTCTTCACCCAACGCGATTCCCAAACCAAGAAAACCACCCAGCACGAGCAGGAACCCTCAGCCACTGTCCTTGGGGCTGAGTTTCCTCAAGCCAGCGAGGCAAGCTGGCAAGCTGTTGCTTAGCCAGGGTGAGCACAACGATGCCAAAGAGCGAACACAGCCCTGTCCCAGCAGTGCAGGGGCACTGCAACTCTCCCCTGGGTCAGGACTATCAGTGTTCTTGCTCATGACCTACTGCCCTGCATCCATCAAAGGGTGTCCCAGGACAGGACAGAGGGCAACACTGCTGGGGAAAGGGAGCTTTTGGTCCGTGGCCCTGCATGAGGACCCTGTGCTGGGCAGCCCTGTGGGCAGATCTCAGGCTGGTTCTTCAGGATGCTGCACGGGCTCCCTAGGCAGATAGCCGAATCGTCACATAAGGCCTCCGAGTCAGCCTTGGGGCACTTGGGAGTTCACAGAGAAGGGGAAACCCAGGAGTACAGCTGTCCTGCTGGCACTGCCTGCAAGCGATGGGGGCTACAGGCCCGGCATTGCAATCAGCTCTAACCAGATGTATATATAAAAATGTATGTTCAAAAAAAAAAAATGAAAGGTACGGGCATGTCGTGGCCGGCAGAGCCCAGAGAAGCAATTGGAGAGTGAGTCCTGCCCACTTCACACCCCAGTGTCTGCCTGGAAGCAGAAGAAACTACTTTTTATGGGCATTGCAATGGGTCCTTCAGCCCTGGCGTGGCTAGGGAGAGCGGCTGCCAAATCCCTGCAGAGGGATGTGGGGAGAGGTGCTAAGCTCCCTCGCAGGATGGGGCACGCACGGCCAAAATAGGCTGGGTCAGGCAAGGAGGCTGGGAATGGTGACCTGCCCTTTGCAGAGCACTGGGAGAGACAGGACACCAAGGTGCTCATCTGCAGGGATGTGGCTCATGTCTGTGCAGGAGACAGCTGGGCACTCTGCCACAGGGCAGAGCTGTTGTGCAGGTCACTACAGGCCTCTCCTTGCTGTAGGGTACTGTCCAGCTTTGGAGAAAAGCCTGGCTCCTAGAAAGCCCTTTCCAAATCACCACAGCACCTCCTAAACAGTGGTGAACATGCAGCTGATGGGCTCTGGGGCTCCCCAGGCGTTGACATGCATGCATGCATGCAACTCAGCCTCCCAAAACTCTGTCGGACACCAGCTTGCAAAAAAATGAGGTGAAATGAGGATGTGACAGGCAGGTATCACTCAAACTGTCCCCCACACAGCGGGGAATACAGCTGCATGGACCAGTGCTTCGCTTCCACTCCTGCCTCTCAGCAAGACAGACAAGAGAGCAAACTAAAGCCTGCTCTAGGGAAGAAACCCCCAGCCCATCTTCTGCCCTGGCCAAGCTGCATGTTGTGAGGGGTTGCCCAGGCCACACACCCCTGACCGGGGAACATTCTCTCCTAGCACCCAGCCTGGCCTCCTTGCTATGGCAGCAATGCCAAATTCACGCTGGAAAAATCAGGGCAGGATAAGCACGCCCTTACTTCCACCACTGATGCCTTTGGTTCTGATGGAAGGGGTAGGTCACAGGAACTTTCTTCTTCTATGCTCATCCACTTAAACTCAGGCTAAGTTGCTGCATGCTACTGGGACAACGTCTGACTGCAGCAGAGCCTGGAAGCACAGCTCCTGCTGCTCCTTGCCTGCGTTTGGGCTGTTGTACAGCTACTGGAGCTGCAGCCAGTATCCATGTCCTTCTCATCCTGTAACGGGAATGCCTGCCATGGCAGACCCCTGGGACAGTGCCTGCATTCCTCCTCCCACACCCGCCCTGCACTCCCGAGGGCGGGCCAGTGGCCAGGGTGGCAATGGGAGAGGTGGTGGAGGGCAGATGGCTGCGGGAAGGAGCTGGACCATGGGGAGGACCGTACTTACGCGGGGATCTCATTGGTCAGGTGGCTTGAAAACAAAGAAACAAGGACATTGAGAAGAGACAGACAGACAGAGACTGACAAACAACAGCGCAACACAGATGCCCTCCCCAGGCAGGGTGTTAGGGCAGCAGGGACTCTGAGGGTGTAAGAGGCAGATGGACAGAGCCTTATCCAATACCCTATCCCAGTGCTGTGGAGCTGGGAATTAACCACGGGGGCTGTAGGAGCACAGTGCTGAGGAAGGGTACGGAGCCAGACTGCAGTGGACCAAGTGTTCTGTAGGAGAAATATCCAGCCCAGAAGCTGAACAGGACATCAGCCAGCACTTGTGTACCAGGCTCTGCTTATCTTCAGAGAGCAGCCCCAGGGACCAGCACAGCCAGAGACAACAGGGTCCAAACACGTACCCCCAGTCCATGGGGTCGGGGTTGAGCAGATGCTGGAGAAGGCTAGCCAGGTCCCGCAGCAGCAACAGCCCATCCCTACCATCAGAACTGACCCCGGCTGCACAGCCAGGGACACAAAGGAGCTGGCAAAACAGGTGTCAATTAAAGCAATTAAACTACCTCTCCCCTCAGCACAGCTCACCCAGCCCACAACCCATCCCTGAGCATGTGACCACTGACCAGGAGCAGGACACAGGCCACATTAACCACCTTCGTGGGGTGCACTCAGCTTCATCCCACTCTCAGTCCAGCTGTGTGTGGGCCAGAAGGTGGCCCACACACTGCAGAATGAGAGCATCCAGACCTGACGTGGGCCAGGCACTGAGTGGTGGGGAAAACCCTCTGCCAACAGGCCAGCTTTGGAGGAAAGGGCTGAAAGTGGTTGCTCATGTCCTCAGTTTGGGTTGTCCCTCTTTGGGCACTGCAGCTGGGACTTCTTCAACTCTAGTTCTTCCTCCTGCTAACAGCCCTAACTCCTTGTTTTAATCTTGGTTCAGCTCAGCAGCCAAGTTACCTCTTTGTCACGGCATTGTGGTACTCCATATATGTCCTACCATCAAAAGCAATGGCCTCTGCATCTCCAGCAGCCTTCTCAATGATCACTGGAGGTGGGAAAAAGAAGAGCTGTCAGGCAACGTGGCATGGCCTGTCCATCCTTGGAGACTGGGAAAATCCCCCTTTACACTGAGCATGGGACAAAGGCATGCACAAACCTGCCATCCCTTGGGGCACATCAGCACTCTGGCATCCTAAAGAAGCCCCCATAAAGTTCTGTCATGGCTTTAAAGCCCGTGGGTTTGGACCATCTCCCTGTTTTGCAGCCAACTGCCATGAAATCTGCAGCCTTACTGGTTTCCTGGCTGAAGCCAGGGAGGAACCTGGACTTGATGATGACCCAAGGGCTAATCTCAGGGAGGGAGCAGAAAAGAAACCCTCGTCTGCTACGGCACCAACCCACACTTCCCTGCCCCAGGAGGCTTTAGCTGAGCACAAGAACACAAGACAGGGTCAGCGTGCACTGACAGGAGGTGACAGGGCTGGGTGATGCACCCACGGGCAGCAGCATTTTTCCTGCAGCACGCAGTGTAAACCTGCATTTCTGAGAAACGGCACTGCTTTCACAGCTCCACATCAGTGCCAGCCTGCAAATGCCACAGCTTGATTCCCCCAGATCCCACCCCAGCTGCTACAGCAAGGGCAAGACCTCAGGCTTGGCGTAAGCCGTGTGCTGTCCTGCTACCACCAGCGAAGCATGGAAGCAGTTTCCTTGCCGTGCCTGGCTAGTGGGTGAGGGTCCACGTCCTGGCAGCCTCACCTTTCTCGCAGTGAGCTCCGGAGAAGCCCCTCTGGCAGGCACACTCGTAGCTCTCTAGCCGGGGACTGCAAGTGCCTCCGTTCTGGCAGGGATTAGGTTTCTGGGTACAAGGGTGTCCTCGGAAGGGGGAGATCTCAATGGCGCTGCGGATGTTCTGCTCCTTCAGCACAGGCACCCCCTTGACGGAGATCTGACGGATGCAAGCAAGAGAAAGCACAAGAGTCACCTCTCTGCAGGGGCTGGAGGGGGGACAGAGGGACACAGGGACCCAGCCCCAAGCCTCCCACGTTCCTGTGACACACCCCCACCTCCCCTCCTGCCACCCACCCCTGCCACTTGTCAATTGGGTGTGCCCCCCTGTGCACATGGATCCAGATGTTAGAGCAGCCGGCCCCCAGGCTCGTCCTCCCCCTCCTCCAGCAGTGCCAGTGCCGATGGCACGTCTCCCTGCCCCCGGCTGCCTTACCCTCTGCACAGCTCCATCGAAGCTGGTGGAGATGGCAGCTGCTCGAGCCAGCTTGCTGAAATCGGGGGCTCCCCCCACGTAAAATGGCTCCTTCAGGTTCAGGAAGGTGTGAGGTACCTAGGGAGGAGAGGGGAGAAGGTGCGATGGAGATGTCAGGCTGTCCCTCAGCTGCAAGCACGTGGCCCAGCTCTGTGGGGAGGCTGCAGGCAGAGCGGGCACCCGCGCACAACCAGAGCTGGGCTGGTGGGAAAGAAAGCGACAACCGCTTGTCACCCACGCTCCACCATTCCCTGCCCAAGGCACGGGCTGTGTCCTGGCGCACGGCTGCTGTGGGGCACCACTAGCCATCCCTGCGGAGGCCGAGCGAGCAGGACAGCTCTGCCCTAGGGCAGGCAGGGAGGTGGGCTGGGCAGGGAAAGGCAGGCTGGGCTCAGCATCCCGCTTGGGAGCGGGTCTTCACCTTCTCCTCCATTCCCGGTGCTGCTCCAGCCTGGCTGCCCTGCACACCCCGCTGCCCCCACACCCTGCTGCCGGGCACAGGGAGCGGATGAGCTCCACGAATACGGCACCAAACCAGGCTGTGTAAAGAACTCCAGCAAAGCTCCCCACACCAAGCTCCAGGTCTTGCCTGCCAGCGGGCACACAAGGAAAAGGCTTCCTGTAAATCTGATTTTGGGGAGATGCTGTTCTGACACCCTCAGGCGTGGGGGTTCTCTGGCTTTACGTGGCTGCCAAACCCAAGCAAACAAATATTGCTTCAGTTTTGCCAGGGCTAATGTTTACACCCAAACTCATACCAGAGGGATTCAGCTTGGGTTCATCCAGCTGCTACAGCAAATGGCATGGGGAGGCTCCCAGGCATCTCACAGGGCTGTGAGTTTGGAAGAGAGCAACCCCCTTCCTTGCTGTCACCCTGCAGCCCCGGCTGGACAGCACGGGACATCCCAGGTGAGTCTTCAGCCCGGTGGCTCACCGGGCACCCAGCAGAAGCGATGTCCCCTCCTGTGCACGTGGGACGGACCCCGAGGCACAGCGGCGAGGCAGAGATGCAGTTATATGAATCACTAGCTAATGCTTTGTGGAGTTAACAGGAGAAACATGACTGGATTAATTGAAATGCTTCCGAAACAAAATGTAACAACTGGCTGGAAAGTAATGATGGAAGGGAACGAGTCTCTCTAATCTACAGAGATCCTAAAACTGCTTGGTCAGATGGGAAGGGGAGCGGGTGAAACACTGAGGTCTGAATGGAAAACAACGTGCCGATGGCAGATGAGATGGAGGTGCGGTGGGTCATACTTATCTTTACCTTACGGGATTTCTGGGATCCAGACAGCAGGGGAGGGAAAAATACAAATGAAAATCAAAGGGAGAGAGAGAGAAAGAGAGAGAAAAGGGAGATCAGTGGGTAACATCGTAACATGCAGGGCTGCAAGACCACCGCAGCAACCAGTGCCCAAGGAAGGGGAAGGGGAGCAGAAGGCAACAGGAGGGGCCGCTGCCACCCTGGCAGCCAGGGTAACCTTCGCTTGGAGAGGAGCCTGAAAAGGTGAGAGGGAGGGGAGGAAGAAATCCCTTCTTTTTGAAGGAATGCTGCTTAATCTCCCTGCTGTACTTTGAGGACCTGCAAAAAAGGGTGCGTGTGCATGTGTGTGAGGGGGGCTCAAACACATCCTTGAAACCAAGGCTCCAGGAATCAGGGCATGCGTGTCAGTGACAAAGGTGCTGCAGCTCTGTGTGTGGTGGGGGCCAAGGAGGGAGAAACAGCTGGGAAAGATGGGCAGCTGCTGTCCTACAGCTCCAGGACCAGGCTGCAGAGCAGCTGAGGAAGAGAGCTCTTCCCTACAGCATCCTTTTCTCACTTGTCTTGCCCACTCCTCCTCCACCCTTAAAGTCATGCACCACAGGGATTAAAAGCCCACAAGCCTGGGAACTCATTACACCCATGAGGGGAGCAGGGCTACCCCAGACAGCTCTCCCCAGCCCATTAACTTACCGGTGACTCTCCCATCACCCTCTCGCCGTTGTTGATCCTCATTACCCCCTTGCGCCCATTCCTCTCCAACAAGACGCTTATCCAGGTGTTGAGGGGAACGGGCTCTTTGCTCCTGGTTGTGAGAAGGGAGAAGAAAGGTGAGGGCTCTGGCATCACCAGCTGCACACGCACTGCTGTATCACTCCCCTGACCAGCTCAGGCTGCCCAGGACACTGCAGCTTGACCAGCTTGGGCTGCCTCAGCTCGCAGCCACACAGACAGCCCGGCTTGGCTGCTGCGAGCCCAGGGGAGACCACAGAGATGCTCTGAGGGCTGGAGCACCTCTGCCATGGGGACAGGCTGGGAGAGTTGGGGTGTTCAGCCTGGAGAAGGGAAGGCTCTAGGGAGACTTTATAGCACCTTCCAGTGCCTGGGGGGCTGCAAGAAAGGTGGAAGGGATTTTTTCCAAGGGCAGAGAGTGACAGGACAAGGGGTAACGGGTTTAAATGGAAAGGAGACTGAGAGTGGACATCAGGAAGAAATTCTTCCTGGAGAGGGTGCGGAGGCACTGGGACAGGTTGCCCAGAGAAACTGTGGATGCCCCATCCCTGGAAGTGCACAAGGCCAGGCTGGATGAGGCTTGGAACAACCTGGGCTAGTGGAAGGTGTCCCTGCCCATGGCAGTGCCAGCCCAAACCATGCTGTGATTAGCCGGGGAAAGGGACACAAGCTGGGGGCAGCCCCAGCTCTGCCCTGTCCCACAGCACAACAGCAGATCAAGAGCCATTACTGCAAACAGCCGAAGCCAGTATGAAGCCTGGTCCCCTCCGCTTCCTTATGGTTTTCCGGGGAGGGAAACTCAAAGCTAGCGCTGGACGCTGAAAGCCATAACTGTCCCTCATGCCTCTGTCATCACCACCACCCCCACGAGCAGCTCCCCAGCCTGCAGCCCACCCTACCTGAGCACAGCTGCCCCTTTGCCCAGGTCATATCGGTACTCCAGGTAGCCATCGTGTAAGGCCAGAGAGACAAAGTCTCCTTTGCCATCTGTCTTCTGGCCGTTGTAGAAGATCATGCCGCTGGGGTTCTTGGCCAGGAACACAACTTCCATGGACATTTTGTCCCTGAGGAGAGAAGGATTACGGATACCCTCCAATCCAGCTGCCCACATGCTCTCTTCCTCCACCCCTGCACGCCAAACCCTTGTGCCAACCTCTCTCCCCACATCAGCCACACAGGCGATGAACTCCCCGGCCCCTCTCCCGCCCCCTGGCACTTACTGCAGGTCAGGAACGAAGGTCTGCAGCCCATTCAGCTCCAGGTAGGAGAAGCCATTGAACTCCGGGAGGAAGGGCATGGTGTGGTCCTGCTCTGTGACTGGGCACAAACGAGGGAATGGTGAGGAAGAGGAGGCAGAGCAGCTTGAGACAGTGCCCCACAGCCAGAGCAAGCTGCCTGGCCACCCAGGCTGGGGAAATCAGCGCCTTCTGTTCCACCCCCTTCCCCAGACCCGCTCCTCTGCCAGCTCCCGTCCCACCTAGCTCGCAGAAGTCTCCTTCCCGGCCCATGGGACAGGCGCACAAGGCACCTCCCTCTGGCAGCACCAAGCAGGTGGCAGAGACGTGGCAGGGCGTAGGGTCGCAGGGGTTCCTCTCGTCGGCACACGTTGGGCCTGCAGCAGAAAAGGCAGCCTGTCACCTCAGCAGCTCAAACCAACAGCCATCAGGAACAACTTGGCCAGAGACAGATGTCTCTGATGTCTCCTGATGCCCTGCTAGCTTCCTTCTCCTGTCTCAGGTTGGGTTCCCATCACTCAAGAAGACCCCCACAGTGGACCGTGCAGATGGCAGAGGATACCCTTGCCAGATTATGCTCTTAAAATGCAAGAGGAATTTTTTTTTTGTGCATGAGAACAAACAGATCCTGCCCCTTGCCTTATGTACGCCCTTGCCTTCGGTGCACATCCTACATTTATTGACTCCACTGGGTGAAGCTTCGCCCTACACTTCTCCCTCTAACCCACTGCCAACATTCCACACCACATCCCTCCCCACCACAGCTTGTAACATCAGCCCCAGAGGCTCTGGGATCCCTCAGGGCCCCCCACTGGAATCAGGACCCCCAGCAATGCTCTGTCTGCAGCCCCCTCCCCGTACCAGTGTAGCTGTAGAGACACTCGCAGTGGAACATCTCTGCCTCCTTGACATGGCAGATGCCACCATGGTGACAGGGGTTGGGGTGACAGGGGTCGTTGCCACACTCGCCCACCCCGCTGCCATACAGCACGTCACTGCCTTTCTCCCGCAGGTCATACATCTGGTTGTTCACATCCAGGAGGCGGATGCAGCCCTTCAGCCCAGTTGTAGCCGCGGTACGATCGGCCACCCTGAGGGGACAGAAGACAAAGTGGGTGGGGGCTTTGTCCCCAGAGGCAAAAACGCAGAGGCCGTCTGAGCATCTGGATCAGGCTGTGCACCCCAGCAGGTCGTTAAGAGGCCCCCCACCGTGCCCAGAGAAGCCCCCCTCCACAACAACCCTAGCAGGCGGAGGGCTGCAGCCACCGTGGATGCTCTGCCCGCAGCAGATGCCGCAATGCTCAGGGCAGCGGTCCCAGAGCCTTCACTCACACAGCCATTTGATCCTCTGGCGCTCCCCCGATGAACAGGTCCGTGTCGAGGTTGAGCCCGTCGGTGCCCGTCGGGCTCTCCCCGCTGACGTGGGGCTCCCCATCCACGGAGAGCATGCCGCTGCGGCGGTTGCGGTTCACCACCAGCTGGTGCCACTTGCCAGGCTCAAGGCGCACCTTGCTGGTGATGATGCCCGTGCCAGAGCCGGTGTTAAACCTGCAGCAGAAGAGAGGGAGGGCTGTGTCTGTGCCACCCTGCGGAAAGGTGACATCCATGCCATGGCAGAGGGGCTGCTGCATCCTGGGGAGAAGGTGGGAGCACGTTGGAGCCCCCCGTTCCTCCACACCTCTGGACCAGGCTGCACTCGGAGCATGCAGCCATCCTCCGCCGAGCATCGGGACTGTCTGAGAACCTGTCTGGGCTTCGCAGTCCAAGAGGTCTGCCCTCCACCTCACCTCATTCCAAATCTCCACCTTTGGCTTTTGGAACTGGGAAAATCATTTCAGCTCAGATTTCTGGGGCCTTTCTTTTTCTCCCTGCATTTCTTTTTCCAGTATAAAAACTGCACCAAAGGACAACCTCCCACTTGCTCAAAATATCAACCTCCCCCAGTTTTTAGTTTTTCCAAATTCAAGCTGCAGTAAGCCAATCAGCTTTGTTGAAAAGCACCCCAGGGAATGAGTCCCCTCAGTATTCCTATTACACTGGAAAAAACGCTCCTCCTCTTCCTGTTCATTTGATGCTACTGTTCCTTAACCTGCAAGTTCAAACCCAGCACCTTCCTAGTGCTCTGCAAGGACTGTTCTGGCAATACTGGCTGCTTCACTGATTCCCCCACCTCCCACCACCCCCCATACCAGGCTGAGAGGAAGGGCACCCACCGGAGCTCCACAAAGCCGCCAACCAGCGCCAGGGAAATGAAGTCTTTGCCACGGTTCTGCCCGTTGTAGAGCAGCAGCCCGCTGAGCTCCACGGTCCTGAACTCCATGGCGATGCGCACGGTGTGGTACGCCTTCATCATCTTGAAGGCCAGGTAGGACTTGCCACCAAAGCTGGGGATGAAGTACCTGATAGCTGCAAGCCCAGGGGCGGAGGGGTGGCAGAGAAAGGAAGAGGGAGTGAAGTAGAGGAGGGAGCAGAAGGATAGAGAGCAGATAAAAGCCTGACATGAGACTATGAACGTTTTCCTACCTGTACAAACAGAGAGCTCTTGTGAAATGGCAGAAAGAAGCTCACTGTCTCCTCTGGGCCCCTGCTCTCCTCTGCAATTATCCCCTGTCACCGCCTCCCAGACACTTGCACTGGTATCAACCAACCCCTCTTGTGATGGCATGCCCCCCAGAGATTGCTCCCAGGCTTTAGAGATCTGTGATACTGCTCCCCCAGTACCCAGCTTCAGTAGTGTCCCAGTCTGCTCCTCCCAGTAAGGACCAGTGCTGTCGGTCCTTTCCATGCCCAGCTATCACATCCCCTGTGCCCTCAGCTGAGCTCTGCTGCACACACAGTTCCTCATAACTCAACTTCATTGCTCCTTAGATGATAATTTTTATCTGTCCTCCCAGAACCCCACACAACAGATTTACATTCACCACCCCAGGCTTTTATTTATTGCAGCTGAGATTTTTCCGAGGGATCTGGAAGGCCAAGCCCTGTTAAAATGAACATGGCTGGACACCCATATCCAGCAGCAGCAGCTTTAGGCGCTCCAGTCTGTAGCTTTAGGGACAAAGCTTTTCAGGAATAAGCACTCACAATGACTGATTGCCCCCAGCGTGCCACCAACCCGCCCGTGGCAGGTCACAGTAAATCAGGGCAGCCCTGGTTAAGCATGTTGCCAGAGCGCTACGCAGCCGGTTCAATCGAGCCCTGCCTGGCGCCGTGTGCGGTGCCCGTGCTCCCAGGCCCCTCCATCACCCTGCAGCTGGCTGGAGCATGGGCAGAGAGGGGTCAGAGCACGTACTTTTCTCGCAGACAGCTCCTCCTTTGCCAGCCGGGCAGCTGCAGGTGAACTCCTTCCCATCGTCCTCGCAGGTGCCGCCGTGCAGGCAGGGGTGAGAGTCGCAGGGCCGCAAGGCCTTCTTGGTGGCAGGGGGCTGGCGCGTGGGTTTCCGGCGGGTGGTGGCAGGGGGGGTGGAGGTGGGGCTCCTCCCGCCGTCTTGGGGCTGGGCCGACCTGCGGCGTCTGGGCGTAGCACGTGGGCTGTGGTGGCAGCGGCAGCTGTGGTGTACCTCCGGGTGGTGGCGGGTGCCATGGTGGTGGCCGTGGTGGTGGTGACAGTGGTTGTGAAGAGCCTGGGGATCCAGTCTGAAACACAGCAACGTGCAGGTGGAGGCTGGTGCTTTACAACCTGCTCTGCGGGCAGGGAAAGCCGCTCGGGCTTTTGGGGTAAGAGAGCAGCAGAGAGGCTCAGATGGATGGTTCTCCCAGGCTACTGCACACCCCAGAGCCCCAAAATCCCTCTCCCCTCTGCTCTCCAGGCTCCAAAGCTCCTGCTGCACAGCCCAGCTTACAAATCCGCTGGGTGTATGTCTGCACCGCATCGCTACCTCTCCTCCCGCCCTGGCTGGGGGCAGCCATGCTCCCAAGCAGAGCTGCATGCCCGGTGCAGGTGTGGCCACGTGCCTTTCTTTCCTGGAAAATTGATGGTTTGGGTTTATCAGCATGAGATCCCATGGGATGGGATGGCCAGTCCTTTGGGAGTACCAGGGGGAGCGCCAGGAAGGGCTCACTTTCCAGGACGATGGCACTGCCACGGTGCAGCACTGCCGCTTGCCGTGTGCTGTGCAAGAGGGGAGCAATATTACCCCCCTTTTGGCCTTCCTGAGCTGAGAACAAGTCTGGGCACATGGACCAACCTCTGAAGGATACTCTCTGGGGAAGAAAGACCGGAAGAGCCAGCCTGACCATTCAAAAGCCTAAACCAAGGGAGGGGGACTGACCACAGTCAGAGAAGGCTCACCAAAGTCCATGAATTTGACATGCTCCTGCTGGGGCTTCTTCACCAGAATAGTCTTCTTCTTGGAAGCTTTGATCTGCTTCAGCAGGGCCCCTTGGACATCAGCTGCCGTGTAGGAAGTGGCTGATCATAGCCAGGAGGAGAAAGGACAAAGGCAGGAGTGAAGATGTAGGCCCACCTAGCAGTTTCCCTCTCATGACTTCCCCACAATGCATCCAAACAATTCCTTTCCCTAGGAAAACGCTTCCAGCCTTCCAGGCACCAGTTTAGGGTGTACCTCCTCCCAGCTCTTTTCTGGACAGAAGACATATCCCCAGCAAATATTAGTAAGGTTCTTTCATCTCCTTGCTGCATGCTTGTTTCTCAGAGTGCCCGCTCCCTGCTCAGGGAGATGGAAATGCCACAGTGAAGCATCACCGGGAAGGCGTACCTCCTCCCAGCTCTTTTCTGGACAGAAGACATATCCCCAGCAAATATTAGTAAGGTTCTGCATGCTTGTTTCTCAGAGTGCCTGCTCCCTGCTCAGGGAGATGGAGATGCCACAGTGAAGCATCTTACCTGGGTCAAAGTGGGACTCCACGATGACACGGACAGCGCTGCTCTGTCCCAGGTCTCGGACACGGATGCTTTTGAAATCCTTCTTGACGTCAGAATTGCGGAAAAGTTCATCCAGCTAGGTGGTCAGAGGTGAAGGAGGAAAGATAAACAGACTAACGGTGAGATCCTAGGGCATAGGTCCTTTCAGTACAAGATCCTGACTCTCAGCGAGTCTCCTTGGTTTCAACCCACAGGGGTTTGCATCCAAACCTTTGCAAGACATCCCACTGACACAGGCAGAGAACAGGGCTCCTTTGTGGAGGGTGATAATTTCAGATGGTCCCTATTCCTAACGGCCTGCAGTCAAAGGTAAAGAACAGGATCCAGACATAGTGTGGGGGGCAAGTGAGCTATCCCCACCGTACCCGTGGAGAAGAGCCAAACAGAGCCAGACCAGAGGCACCTTGCAGTTAGAGGGATATATAGGGATTTTCTATTGTGTGCTATCTAAGTCATACTGATCTCTTCTAAAGCTGCTTAGGCACTTTGGAAAATCCCATAAGGCACCATTCTGCATCTTTAAGTACCTGACTGGCTTCTACAACTTGGCTCTCAGATATTGCAGGACTTGGCTGAAGGCACATGAAGGAGACAGCGACGGTCCGAGGCTTGCAGCAAGTCAGGGCTTTAACACCCCTGCTAGCTATCTGAACAGCCCTGTGCTGGACTGGCAGTTGTCACGGCTAGAGGCCACTGCTTCCTTCCCTCGGCTTCAAGGCAGAGACAGAAGAAGGTAATTAACTGGCTGATGGTCCCATGGTATATCCTCCCCCTGTAAATTTGGGCACAGTGACCTCAGAAGGGCAAAGGAGCACATCACATCCACAGGTATCTGCAGGCAGGTTGCACAGGGACAACAGCTCTCTGCCCAGGAACTCTCAGCCCAGCCACAGCCAGCCTCTGGGACAGAGGGCCTGTGCCATGCCTTCATTTCCCCCAGCCCTGGGAAAACTAGCGAAATCTGCCTTCTCACAAGGGGGTGAATGGATGAACCAGTGAATGAAGCTTTTGTGTGCGCGTTTGCATCCTCAGATAGAAGCCACTGTTGTATGGGGAAATACTGTTATTGTGATACAGAGCTGCAGGAGCCATATGGTCCATATGCCAGGCTCACATCTGCTTATACGACTGTACTGAGGGCCTGCCAACTTCTGAGCGCGGCTCGGAACCAGCTCTAAATATGCTAATCTCCTTGCAAAGATGCTTTGTATTTGCTGTGCCAAACTGCAGCCTACGAGCAGGACGTCGCTACCCCACCCAGCGCTTCCTTGGCACACCCATACGTACACACTGCTTACTCCAAGAGCCGGCCATGCACGGGGTTCTCCTTAAAGGGGGGAGATGGAATTTACACAAGCAACTTCCCAAGTTGAGGGGCAAAGGGGTTTGGGACACGTTTTTTGTCTAAGGGCTTTTCATGGATATAAGGACACTTTGGGAAATAGGGAGTTAAGGGAGAACTGCCTATCTGAACAGCCCCACCACCAAGATGAAACTGAAAAAGGGTAAGTTTTGACCTAGCAGGTAACAAAGGATGGAGCCCACTGGCACATCACGTAGCAGAGGCTGGTGTCACACGTGGATTGAGAGATCAGACAAATTCACAGAGGACACCTCTTACACAGAACCGGTACATCACCTCCCCTCACTCTTAAGTGTCCATCCCATGCAAGCGCTGGCCCTGGCAATAAGACGTGTTCACTCCCAGCTTTTGTAGGTCAAGCTCATCTCAAAAAAGTCCCAAACACCAACACGGATTAATGCTCACCGCGCTCTCAATGCTCCTGGCCGTCTCTCCAAAGAGCTCCGACTTGGGGTCAGCCATCTCAGGCGTGTAGAACAGCTCCTGGCCTTCCACCTCCTCCAAGATGAGGACTCCCTGGAAGACCTTGGTGGCTACGGAAGGGAGGGTAAACAAGACAAACGCCTTTAGTCAGCTCGTGGGCAGGGGACAGGTGTGTGGCTGACAGCCGCAAGGAGCATTCGAGTCCCTGGGGGGAAAGGGTGATGGCAGTGCGTGGGTAGTGCCAGTGTTGGGGTTAGTCGGGATGGGACTGGGAGAGCGCCATGGAGGATTAGTATCAGAGGGTGCTGGAGCAGATGGCAAAGACCAGGCTGGAGATGGCAGCTTTTACCATACGGTTTCCTCTGAGCTCCGGCCCGGATAGCAGCCCCCCTGCACCGGCTGAGTAACAAGAGAAAGACGTTAGCCAGAGCAGCACACAGTCAACACGGCAGGATCAGACACGTGCATGCAAACAGGGGCAGAGGAGGGCGAAACGTGGACGCTGGACAAGGAGAAGACCTGTGCTGGGAGAGGGAAGTAGAGACCCTGCCAGCTAACAAGCCGTGGCCGGCCTTGCAAAAACCAGACTGAAACTGGAACGGGAACCCAAGGTGCGGTTCCCTTCCAGGGGAGCTGCAGGACTGCGGAGGCAGCTACGGAAAGATCCCCACTGTGGGTAACCATACGGGAGGTTCCCAGCAGCTGTCCTTTCGTGGGTTAAAGAAGCGAACGTGGTGTCCAGAGGAAAAGGGAATGTCCTGCTGGAAACCCCAAGGAACAGGGACAGTTAAGAAGGACCTCAGTGAGCAGTGAGGGAACATCTGGGAGACAGCCCCAGAGCAGCAATTTTTAGGGTAACAAGGATGTACGTTGGACAACCAATACTCTGGCTGAGCGCAGCAGGCTCGGTGTTTTCTTGACATGGATAGTGTGAAAGGGACTGTCAGTAGGCAAGGCCGATCCCGCCCTGGTCATGAGAGCAGTGCACACTCCCAGGAACCCCAGCACGGGTCAAGGAGCTTCCACATCCCTCAGGAAGCCCAGCAGCGACACTGGAGCTATAGCTGCTCTCCCCGCCTGCCCTGGCACCAAACTAGTCCTGGTCAACGCAGCTGCCTTTACAGCTATCGATGCAAATGGGAATCCAAGAATTCCCTTATCCCTCCTTGTGCCCGTCATGAGCTCTGTAGGAGCTTGGGGAAAACACTGGTCCAAGTTTTAAGGCTGTAGCAGGAAGAAAGTGGTTACCTAAGCGAAGAAAACCGCAGGGTGCCCTGGCTCCCCACGTGAGCAGCAGCACCCACTCAGGCACTGAGGCTGGCTGCTGGGGGATGCGGCAGTGGGCACAACATCATGAACATCCCCGCAGGGACATGCCAGTCCTCAGACTGGGCCGTGCTCACTGCCAGTCGGGCAAGCACAGCACCATGCTGCTCTCCCTGCCGGGCAGCTCTCGGTGGCATCTCTCCCTCTCCTGCACCATGCAAGAGCTCAGTCTGACTCCTGACCCCCAAAAAGGAGCCCAGAGCCCAGCCCCGAGGCCAAACTCACCTGGACAGTTGCTGCCTTCCGCATCAGCAGCCGCAGTCTTGCCATCAGAGCAGCATCCCAGCGGGGTGTTGTAACACGTCGCCCTCTCGATAGCTGGGGTGGAAGTTACCTGGCTTTCCTCCACCTCCTCTTCCCCTGCAAGGCATTAAGAGAGGCATTCACCAGCACAGGTAAGACCTCACCTCTGCCTCAGAGAATGAGGCTGAGACACAGCTTCACTTTGTTGTGACAGACAGAACCACAGACTGGTTTGGACTGGAAGGACCAACAACTGCTGTTGTGCTGTGGGACAGGGC